TTTTTTTATGCTGATTTTATTGATTATTTTTAAATAAACATATATAGATAAAATGCATATACTTTAAGAAAAAATAATCTTCTCATCAATATTAAATAAAAATAAAATTTTATTTTTTCATTAGTTAATTTTTATGCAAGTCTATAAATTAATTGTAACTTCTTCTTTTTTGATATATTGTTATAAAACAATATATTTTTAAAGTATTTGTTTTTGAATTCTTAATTAATATTTTACATTTAAATTATTACAAACTTTTATTTAAGAATCTCTAAATAGAGAAGAATAAATCATTTTTTAACCAAAAATTTTATGAAAAAAAACAAAAACATAGTAATAATTAAATAAAAAATTAATGAAAAAATTATAAAATTTTGAAATGATTTTGGTCTATTTGCCTGCAGTGTTATGCGGATAATTTCAAAAATTAATCTTCTTATCACATTTAAATAAGAATTTTTTTTCATTTTTTAGTTTTTATAAAAGTCTCTAAATTAATTATAATTTTTTTGTAATATAATATTATGAAAAATATATTTTTAAAGTTTTTTAAATTCTCGATTAATATTTTAGTTAAAATCAATTCATAGAGAAGAATGATTTATGTTTTTTTAAGCAAAAAATTTGTAAAAAAATTTAGAAAAAATTAATTGAATAAAAATTATAATTAAAAAATTTTAAAATAATTTTGTTCTGCTAGACTCGTAGCGTAATGCGGCAACCTACTAGTATAAAGCTAAAGCACATGCTTGCACTTTTGGGCTTGGTACCAGAGCGGGGTGCTCGACCTTGCTTCTAGGGTTGTGTAGGGCAAAGTTAAAAATAAAAAAAACACAGACACACAAAATAGAAGGCGAACGACATGTCATTTGCACCAGACACAGTAGACGACTTGTCGTCCATCTGGAAGTCCCAACTAGCAATGACTGATTGGAAAACATGTCCAAAAAAAGTTGTGATTTACGGCTATTTCAACCTAAATCAGTGTATTCTCTCCAAAGAATATCTCAAAATGAGAGAAATAAGGTATATAAACTCTTTTAGAGTCTCATAATCAATTTTAATACGTACAAAATGCATCAAACTTCAAATCAATAATGTGAATATGTCTAAATCCACTCGTTAAGTCGAGTGATCATGAACACCTGAAATATTTATGCGCACAAATAATAAAGATTGGTTTTTTTTTTTTTAAAGTATTTTTTGTTAATAATTTATCAAAGTTAATTCATTGGTCATAACTTACTGGAGGAATTAAACAAAAGGAAGACCTATGATTTATGAACAAAATTAGATTGGTAAAAACTCTCTAGTATTTCTAGAATTACTTAACGAAACAACAACAAGAACAACAAGAAGAGTATGGAAATAAGTAATCAATGAGTAAAAATCTCTTACCCAGCATTTGAGCACCAATGGCACATTGGAGGAAATAAGATCCATACATGGTTGCCATTATCTTGACAAAGAAATTCAAAGGGAGTGACAGAGTATAGATAAAGGGCCATATCCTTATGATTTCTTACACATGCCTCAACAAGTGGACTCATTTTACGTTCATTTACAAACGTAACCAAGTTTTTGTTCTTGTTCACCAAACACACTGCTATCTCTGTTATTCCAACAGTAGCAGCACTAGAAAGAGCTGTGTTGCCTTGATTATCTTTTATTTCCAATCCCTTTTCAGACATCAGCTTCACCAATTCCTCCACGATTTTCAAATTTCCAGCACAAACTGCTACGTGAAGGGCAGTTTCACCATAGGGTTTAATCTCGACGGTTTTTGCATCTGGATATTGGCTAAGATAGTTTCTTGTGGCATCCCAATCTCCTTTATGAGGATACAAAAAATATGTGACTAAAAGAAATAGAACTCAAAAACTTAATCAAAACACCGATAGAGTTAAAAATACTTAGAAAACACCAAGGCAAATTCCTGTTTTATTATAAATAGCTATGGAAAAATCAATATCTAATATTGCAACATTAAAAAAAAAAAAAAAAACAACAACAACAACACAAGGAGTAACGAGAATGATAAAGTTTTAGTGTTTTGAAATGTTAACTAGACGATTACACCCACGCGTTGTGTGTGTCACACTAAAATCTAATTTATGCATAACGAAAATTTTAACTATGAACATAACAAAATATATGATGATGAATTTTACTATTTGTTATTAAAAAGGAGTAATGAATTCTTAAAAGAAAAAAACTGTATAACCATGAATTAAGAAAAAAAATACAAAGAGCGTACCAGATATTAAAAAAATATGAGCAATAAGCAGAGAATATATATAGTGACCAATTTGTTTTACAAAGAATTCTTTTGACATTAAAATTTCATTTGTTTTGTTATAGAAGAGTGAGTTTGATAATAATAATTGTATAATTAATTTGATGCCTCTTATACGCCCTCACACTAATCTATATAGTTTATCTAATTTTTCATTAGAATCTTGAATAAGAATTTTGAAATGGATCTGGTTTTTTGTTGTTTAAAGAGATTTAAAATGATTATTGATGTTTCAAATAGGTTCTTGTGGGGAGGGGGTTTATGATGGATTTCAAGTGCCCATAACGGCAAAGAGGAAAAAAAAAAAAAAACTGAAGAAGATGAAGAAGACAGCGCGTCGTTAGCTATTTCATACCACGTGCCGTCTGTCTGTTTCCTTTTCTTTTTTTAGTTTGGAAGTAGTTTTTCAGGCTCAGGCAAGCACGAGCTTGCTTCGCACCTGCCAAGCCCGCGTCCTCACCTTTTGTTTTAGGCCTTCTTTCCCCCCTAAATTCTACTTTTATTTATTTTCCTAAATTCTTATTTTTTTGTTTTTTTTGTTTTTGTGCCTTTCCCTTTTCCCCGCTAAACACTATTTATTTTATTTCAAATACAAAAATTTTATGATAAATTTTTAAAAAATAAGAATTTACGCCCTTCTTCCTAATTCTTCTCCTCTCTCTTAAAAAAAAAAAAAAAAAGACACGAGCTGACGAAATGAAATGAATTTTTAAACAGTTTGTCTTTTTGGATCAAAGAATTTACAGTCAATATGTTAATAATCAAATGCCTATACAAATTGATAAAACTCAATATCTTTCATTTTAGTTCCATTTTGTATAAATTTTATCAATTCCATTTCCAAATTTTATGGAATATCACAATATAACTCAAAATTTAAGAATAAAAAAAATAAAATTGAAAAAAATCTTTAAAAAAATATATTCGATAAAGTAAATATGATAAAACAATATTTTTTCATCAACACTACCTAACAATCATTTGAAAATACAAGAAAAAAATTAGGTTAAAAATAAATATAATAAAAATATTTTTAAATAAACATTATGAACCACCACTATTGATGCCTCTTATACACCCTCTCACTAATCTATATATTTTATCTAATTTTTCATTAGAATCTTGAATAAGAATTTTGAGAAAAAGATAAAATATAATCTCATATGAATCGAATGATATTAGTTTGAGTATAGGAAAATTTTGATATCATTTATAGCTTGATTATCGGCACATATTAAATTTGTTATCGAAATGGTGAAGGTTTTTGACAAATAATAAAATAATAATGTATAAAAATTAATTTAAATCTTAGTTTTTATTTAAATATATTATTGATAAAGAAAAAGACATTATTGCTAAGTGAGAATCGAAATCGATAGGATTTATTTATTTATTTTTTTTTTGAGAAATTAACCTCTCAAATTTTATCATATTTTTTATATTATTTTTTATATTTTTTTAATTTCAGTTAGTTAATTTTATTTTTTAAATAATATTGTGATATTTCATAAACTTCAAGGATAAAAAATGATGGTATGTTTTTATTTTTGTGTTTATTATACAAGTGGTCTTCATTTTTTTTTTTTAATTACTAATGTACGTGTTTTCCTTACCTTTTTCTGTTAGAAAAACTTTTCTAATAAAACGAAGAAAGCAATTTTATAAAGGAAATTGAAGGAAAAAAAAAAAAAAGAAGCCAAAACATCATACTGGCAGGTAAGGGAGTTCGTTAAAACTAAGTCACCAGCGTATCAATAAAATATTATAAAGTCTCAATCACTCTTATTTATAGTTGCTGGGATTGAAAGTGTTTCAGGGATCTCTAGGATTGAGTTGGAAAAATTAGAGGACTAAAGTGATTACGAATTAGTTTGTTAAGCCAGCAACAATTCGATACAAGGCAAGATCGTGTGAAGAAGAAGCGCGTGGGAAGGATTTGAAGAAGAGCATGGCTTGTACGTGAGGGAGTTCGTTAGGCTGATGTGGCAAGTTCGTTAATCAGTTGTCTTAGAGAAACTGTCATTGCTGGCATTTTGGAAAATTACGCATTCTCTCTCTTCTATTTCTGATTTATTCTTGCATTTTTCATTAATTAAAATTCGTCCAGCAGGTGTTTGATAGAAGTCCTATATGATTCCTAGTTTGGGAGCCTTCTATTTCTTCAATTTCTTGGTTTTTAGCTTCTGGGTTTTGATTTGCGTTGGTTTTTGTGTCTAAAGAACAATGAAATGGGTCAAAAAGTCATAAGTTCTGATCTAGGTCTGGGTAGCTTTTATCATTGTTAGTTGGTGAATCTTTTTACTCTTTGTTATTGCATTTATAATTTCTTGTAGGTTGGAGGTGAGGGAACAAATGTTTTTGGACTGGGTATGGTGATGTGAAGAGAAAAGGCATGTGAATTTTACGATTCTGATATGAGAACGATGGGCGTGGAAGAGAAGAAAACTTAACACATGACAAAAAAACGGAACCCCTAGTCAAAAGGCCGCAAAATCTGAACCTCAATAACAGCTTGACACATTTTAATCCAACCGCTTGGCACGTGTCGACCAGAGCTCCACGTGGCATTATACGTGTCAAGCAACGGTCTGGTTTCAATCACTATAAATTATGGCAACTATGGCATTACTTCATCATTACCCAAAGATCTCTTTTCTTCTCTCAAAGTATTATAGCTTTCAAGTAATTTGTGTTCATACCAAAGATGGCTGACAACACTCAGAAGATGAGCTACCAGGCTGGTGAGGCCAAGGGCCAAGCTCAGGTCAGCTTATGATTTTCTTTTCTTCGCTTTTATTTATATATAAATTAAGGTATATACGTATATAATTAATATTCTCTAATTAATAATTATGGATTTTGTTTGTTTCAGGAGAAGGCCAGTAACATGATGGACAGAGCTGGCAATGCTGCTCAATCTGCAAAGGAATCAATGCAAGAGGTTCATATATTTTTTGTCCAATCCTATGCTCTATATTTTTTTACAGAATTCATTAATTCTCACCATGCACAATGGCTTTTTGTATAAGAATATAAAAATAATCCAAAAGCCAGAAAAAAAGAAAAGAAAAATGGAGCAAGGAACATTTCACGAATACAGTTTACAACGCACTGGTGTTAATTAATTGCATATTTTGGCACAAATATTTAAGATAAGCGAGTTTGCAATATGGGTTTTTGATTTTAATTTTGATACTTGTAGGCTGGCGAGCAGGTGAGGGCTAAGGCGCAGGGAGCTGTTGAAGGAGTAAAGAATGCAACTGGCATGAACAAATGAAGCTGAATGGAGTCCAATAATTAATAATAGTCTATTGCATGCAATTTAGAAATTAAATGCAATATTTATCTATTCGGCATTGTCATTAGTTGTTTTTTGTTTTTCTCTACGTACCGACACTTGGACAACAACGCCTCTTGCGAGTGCTAGCAAATCCAGCATCGATGTTGCTGTGATTGTATATCCTTTCACGGAATGTAAAGCATTGAGCTTGTCTTAGAGTATGAGAACCTGCAATGGAAAACGAGTATTTTTTAGCATCAGAAATTAATATACATCAATAAATTAAGGTGATCGTGCCAATTAAGGCTTCTTATGTATGTTGGTTACAAGTTCGACCTGACAAAGCAACCATTCTGGAGAGCAGGTAGTTCTGCGTTGGCTAGAGTTCGACTTATCTCTCCTTCCAAGCTTAACTGCCCAAAATGGACCGCCGACTGACATTTTTCTTTTAGAGTAATCATTAATCAGAAATCTTGATTTTGCAACTTGAAGTACGAACAAAAATAAAGAGATGGATTGATTGTATATATACTCACATAAGCAGATGCATCTCCAGGACATCTCTTCTCTAGTGGAATTGGCTATTACAGTGATTTGCAGCATAGACTTAAAAAGAAAAGAAGAAAGTTCTCTCTCATGTTGTTCCACCAAAGCAGACTTAAAAGGGATAGGGGGCTAAAGACAAAATATTCCTTGCTCCCTAGACACAAGAACAGATGAAAACCATAATTTGTCTAAAAGTAGTTGCTGACTTGCTTCAGGTTCTTTCTTAGCCCATAACGTTGGATTGAACTTTGAAAAGCAAAGAAAGTCACAGGAAACAGACCAAAGGGCAGAGGCAACTGTCCTGTCCTGCCCTGCCCTCCTTTTTAATCAAATAAAAAGTTTGTTATATACTTGAAATCAATAATTAAGGCCAAAACACGCAAAATACGAGAGAACCTATTTAAACTAAAAATTACATACATTTCAATAATTAGACTGCCGTATGCGTGCCTTAAACTGTGGGTCACATTAACTTTAGTCTTTACAACTTAACAGCAACTCATCATTTCCTGAGGACACTAACCCTTCTGTTGGCTCGGTGAATGTTGCTTTTGCAAATTGTTTCAAATAAAACTCCCAAAGGTCTTGAGCTAACATATATATATATATAGCTTTTCATGCAGGAGCTCCAATCATCTCTTAGGACTTCAAAAACGATTGCAGTTGGAGCGATGTTAGTTGCCATGTCAAATGAAAGAGAAACCACTGACGTCAAGTTCTATAGTTAGTTATTTGTGTAAATATAAGAGGGAGGGAAATTGTGACTGGTCGATAAAGAAAAAGAATCATTTATTCTTTTATTAGTCTATCAGTTAGTAACATGCTTTAAGGTTTTTTATAAAAAAAAGGGTCCTGAAGAATAACCTGTGCCAAAATGCATAATGCAGAGTTAATAATTTGAAATGCTGTTATTTTAGATGGACGTATCTATTACGGTACATTTTGAATCGTAAATGAGAAATTTTATAATACTCATTAAGTAATTAGTATATATATACAGTAATTATTTCATGATATATATTTTTTAAAGAGAGATAGACATATTAAAAAAAAAAATTACATTTGAATCCATAAAAAGTAACCTACCAAAAATAATAAAAAAATTTCTATCTTAGCTTAAATTTTTTTTCTTGAAAAATGGACATATGGAGTAATTAGTATATATGTTCATTAATTACTCCTCGAGTATTATAAAATTTCTCATTCTTGAGCATTGTAAAATTTGTCCTTGATATAATAATATAATTTATCAAATTATAAACAGTCACTTATAAAATGAGTATTCTTACTGAGATGAGATTAGTATTTCTGTAAATTATATTGTAGTTGTTTATTATAAAGATAAAGAAAAATTCTCTCAAGCAGAAAGGAATAGGAGAGATAACACATTTCTTACTTTCTGTTTTCTAAAAACACAAAATCTTCCGGTAAAAGAAATACAAAATTCTTTGCTTTCCAGAGATACCACTAATGTCAAGATCTATGGTTGGGTGTTTCTGTAAATGTAACAAAAAAAGGGGGTTTGATAGTGGTGGGTAAAGAAATAAATATTTTTTTTATTAGTCTATAAGTTAGAAACATGGTTTATTTTCTTGGTTCTTTAGATTAAAATGAAAAAAGAACTGTCTTGAAAAATAAATACAAATTCTTTGCTTCCAAGAGACAAAAACAGATGAAACCAGAATATGTCTAGTTGTGACCTAACATTCAACATTAACCTTATGTGCAACAATACTTAATATTCGATTAATAATCTAATTATCAATTAATTTTTTATTTTGATACTTAATGTGAAAAAAATAGCTATTTTTTGGTAAAGGATTGATGTTCTAGATTGCAAATATATGGCCTTAAAATAGAAAACGAAGATGCCATATTTATTTAAATTTTTTAGTTTATTTCTCTTTTTTACTTGTAAAAATCCAAACAGGGATGACAAATTGGCTCAACTTTGAAATGTCAGGTGCGTAATTAAACAAATCGAAAGCGTAGGAGGTAAGTAGACAAAGTCTGCAACGTGCATGGAACAAATTAAAATTTACTAAGGTAAAGAAGTCCAGAAATAAGCCCAACACTCTAAATCACACACAAGGCAACACCATTCGACTTCTGTGAGGTAATTTACAATGGCCCATTGTCCGAAAATGGGCTGCTTCATACTATGAAACGTTCTAAAGCTTGTAATTTGTGATATTGTATAAAGACAAGACTTAATTTTGATTGGTGCATAAATTGATTATGAGAATATATTTTATTATTTAATGAAAAAATAAATAAGTTGTGCCTATAAAAAATGTAATAATTATTGTAACAACTATTTTAATATAAAAAGAACTATATATATATATATATATAGCCAGCTCACTACACCAGCTATAGTAAATCTCTAGTTGATCTACTCCATTTTTTTCCTAGCATCTTGAAGAAACAGAGAAAATATAAATAATTAGTACTTTTTTTCAACAAAAGAAAAAAATAATAATAATATGCAAAGTCATATTTTCAAAAAATTGCAGGTGTGGATTTTGCCATCAGGAAAAGTAATCTCATCGCCAGCAAAGCTTCTCTTTCTCCGTCCTTCCCTAGGGCTTCTTTTGCTGGTGACGGCCCAAAAATTCTCGCCTAACCTAAACTCAGAAAGGGTAGGAGGTGTTTCGTTTTTCTGTTTGTATTTCTTGGTTTTCTCTTGCTAGCCTAAACCCATCGAGTCGACTTTCTCCATTGCTAATATAACTATCCCCTTTTCTATCTCTAGCATAAAACCATAAAATGATAAACTTTTGATTTTTTTTTAAATAAAGCTAATTTTAAAGTGTTGTTTCTCCCCGCTATGAAAGTACTTAAATGCTATTAGATTAAAGTATGTAAATACATTTTCAGCAGAACTGATGCAAAGTCTAACAAAGTCTTTAATAGTAAAACAAAAGACTCTTAAAAAATCATTCAAATAATGTAAATTATTTTGTATAGAAAGAAAAAAATAAAAGAAAAATTGTTTTTAAAGCAACCAATCGCTCTTATTTATTGTTGTGGAGAAATTATGAGATATGTTAGATGTTGCATATTAAGCTCTCATGCACTATAAAAAATACATAAATTGCAAAAATTGATGGATAAATTTGATCAGGGGCGTAATTGCATTAAATCAATTTGAAATTGAAAGCTAATAGCAATAGGAGTGAAATTGAATTAAGAAAAAAAGACAGATTAAGGGCATAATTGAAAAGAAATTGAGGATACGATTGAAGGATTCAGGAAGTGAGAGGATTGTTTCGCACTTTTACAAGTGAAACAGTGAATGAACATTCACTGTTTCCTTCAATCTTTTCCTGAAAATCGAAAACCAGAAATGGTTTCAATTGATCCTTGTTTTCTAACGGAATGAAATCCGTTCAGCCAGCTCAGCAATCCAGGCCCTTGGTCCGCAAGTCACGCAGGAAAATTTGAAAAGAAGAGGAGCATTAGATCGAATAACAGAATAGAGAGAGGAATTTTTGGAGGAAAACGAAATTGGTTGAGAGTTGGGTATAAATAAGGGGTTTAGAGGTCAGAGAAAAGAAGATTCTGGAGGTACAAAGAGGAATCAAGAGCAGAGAGTAAGAACAAAAAAAAAAAAAAGAAATCGAGGGATTTTTGTTTCTTAGTTTCTGGGTTTTGATTTGAATTTCTGGGTTTGGGGATGAACACCTAGGTTTCGACTTGAAGTTCCGAGTTTTTTTCTTGGATTTCTGAGTTCGATCAAGCCTTCTGAGTCCTGGAAAACACATGAAATCATCCTACAAACGATTCGTGAGTCCTTAATCTTCGTAACAACGAACCTTAGATCGTCACTAAATTAACCTCTCAGTCATCTTCATCATTCACTGGCATTGAAGGTTTCTAGGTTCATTCAAGTGTCTTGAGCTTCACAAAGTCAGAAATCATCATCCCTAATCGTTTGTTCATTCTTCAATCACAACAACAAAAGTCCACCGGTCACCGATCACATAGAACATAGGCTCGGTTCTACAGTAGCTTCCATCGCTTACAAGCGAAGGGGACAATCACAATACCAACAACTAAAATCCAATTATCTTTCGTTATCAATCACATTTAGGTAATTTATTCATTGTCATTGTCCATCCTATTGATCTTGTGTCTGTTATCTATAGTCATTTCTATCATTAAACTAGGAATGGCAATGATGCATCCACTGCCAGATTAAGCCCCCTGTTGCTCAATCTCCATTTGTGTTCTTATTGATGGATGATAATCACGCTTGAAGATTTGATGTCCGGGTGAATAAAAGATTGAAAAACGAAATGGAAGAGGCATGTAGTAGATGAGTGAAGAACAGAGAAAGAAAGAAAGGAAAGAAAGAAAAGAAGAGAAGGAGAAAGGAAAGACAAAAAAGAGAGGGGGAAATAGAATAAGTTGGAGTAGGGTTAGCCTAGTCAGGAAAGAAGGAAAAA